CCACAGCAGCTCGGGCTGCCTGGCCGCCCCGCCGGGCGCCGGCCCCGACCCCGACAAGCGCAACACGCTGGACGTGGGCGAGGTGCTGAGCCAGGCGGAGCCGCTGGAGCGCTGGGAGCGCAGCAAGGGCAAGAACCGCACCCTGGACAACAGCGATCTGCAGCGCTTCTCGCAGCGCCGGGACCGGGACGGCGACAGGGACGGCGCCCCCCGCGACCGCCGCCTGCTCCGCTTCTTCAGCGGCATCTTCGCCTCCGCGCCCTTCTGCAGCCCCCACGGCCGCTCGCCCCGCAGCAGCTTCTCCAGGCCCAGGGGCTACTTCAGCAGCCTGAGGAGAGCCACGGCTGAGGCGCAGTCCAGCTCCGAGAGCATCAACGGGTCCCCTCACAAAGGTGCCCTTCCTTGGCGGGACAGGGGCGCGGGGAGAGCGTGGTGCAGGTGCCTCCAGGTCCTTTCAGGGGAGTGCCCAAGTCCTGCAGGCAGGATCGACCCTGGAGGTTCCCAGAAGGGATGGGCAGACCCGCCAGCCCACTGCCCTGCTGTTGCCAAGAGCTCTTTTGCCCTGGTGGTTTCCATTGGGTTTCCGACTGCAGAAAAATATGAGCTGGCATTTTCCCCTTTGAGCCCAGCCAGGGGGACCTCCCGAGGAGATGGGGCCGAGAACCACCGGCCTAGACACCTGCCTGCATTTGGGCTGGGATATTGCCACTGAGGCACCTCTGTATGATCCTCTACCCCAGGGGTTCCCAACTGTTTCAGATCGTGGACCGGAAGTGGCTGCGGACCAGCAGACTGCAGTCCAGAAGCGGCTGGCGCACACATACCGGCATACTTGGTGTAAAAAAGTGTTGGCTGCCGGTTCCCGGTATGCCGGTCACTTCTGGACATCCAGTCCGGCAGCCAACCTTCCTGCCAACCAGGAGCTGACCCTTTGCAGCCCAGTACCATTACACGGTCATTAATGCACCATGCTTATAGTGCATTAAGTTTAGTACCTGTAATAACAGGTACTAACTTAATGTTCCATAATTGGCGCTACTACACATTAACGCAGATGAACTTTTTTTTTTGTGTGACGCTTAATGGGTATTGGACTAAAGGTAGTGCAAATTAGCATGGTTTTTGTCAGCCGCACTAATGCGCCCTGGAATTAGTCCAATGCCCATTAAGCGTCTTGTGTAGATGCACCCACTGTGTAGACAAAGCGCATCAGAGATGCATTGCATTTCCCAGCATAGCAGGTGTTGCTTGTCACCTTCCATTACAGGTGCAGGAGCCAGGAAGTGATGTGAAGGCAGAATAGATTATTCCCATAACAAATGAGACTTCACCTCCTTGTAGGTCTCTTCTTTGCTGTTCCCTTAGCTGGAATGAAATGTCATGGATCTGCAGCTTAATCATTTAACCAGGAAAGAGGGCTGGGTTCCTTTTTTGGAATATGGGTCACCAGGCCACTGAGTGTGCCCTCCTGAGAATGTGTTTTCATGAAGCACCTTTCCAAAATAGGATGCATCATGCTCAGTGACTTAAAATATCTGCCCATAAAAATACCCTGTGCAGGATGTGTTTAAATGACCAGTTCAAGTGGATTTAATCAGCTTGATAGTGAAAACGTGCAAGTATCTGAATGTAATAGTTATTTGTATTGCTGCTAGTCCTCTAGCCTACTTGACATCAAGAAGCTGTCTTCACTAAAATACAGGAGTAAAGGAACATGGTTTTAACATTAATGGGAAAAGAAAAGCAGATTGAGCTTAGTCGATGGTTTTATGTTAAGCTTTTCAAAACCTGTGTGGGCATATATGCTGAATTTGGGTTTTACCACTTACTTTTTCTGAGGTATTGGTTATAGACTTCTTGTCTTTCTTTTTTTTTTTTTTTTTTTTTTTAAAGAATTTAGGGTTCCCCCCCTTCTATTATATACTTCTTTATACACAATCCTAGGTTTATTGTAAAAGTGGCAATTGCACCAGTCTCCAGAGTAATGGCTATTTGAAAAAGCAAAATAGGCGGTAGACCTCTAACTAAAATTCACATTGCCAAAGGTCATGGTTTTTCTTTTCCATGCATGTAGTTAAAATCTTCCCAGAGTGTGAAACAAAGTGGTTGCAGGGAGGTAATAATAGCTGGACAAAAACAACCTGTAGATCCAGTGGTCCACCAGTTGAGATCAAGTGCCTTCCTTTCTTAAGCTGTAATGCACTGTTGCCAATTTCATTCTGTAGGTTAATAAAACATTAAAGGCATTTATGTGGGTTTACAAGCAGTCTGTACCGGAACTTGTGGCTTGACTTCAGTGTTAAGGTTGAGATAACCACAAAAAAGTGTGTTTCACACAGCTGTTTGTGTTTGCCACTTAAGAAGTATGCCCAGAATGCTATTTTGTTTGAAGAGTGTGTGTGCGTACATTCCATTTCCATATACGTTTCCTTTTTCCTCTGAGTGCATGGAAAGGTGAAGTCCAGTACTTTTTAGGGTGGGGGTAATTTCTATGATTGTGTGTTAAGACACGTCACTGAAATTTGTCTCAAATGCTGACTGAGTAAAACTCATCAGTGAGAAACAAGCTTTTAATTGCAACTCCAAATGGGATGGTAAACCTTCATCTAATTGTTTTACTGTATCACACACATGAAGCTAGGTTTATATGAGATTTGGTTACTGTATAAACTTGACTGGTTTAACTGGGCATGCCTGTTATCACCCTGCAGGCTACTGTTTAAATTCCACCCTCAGACTAAATCTGTCCTTTTTTTTTGGTAGAAAAGTAAGTTTTGGCCTTATCTTCACTACGAGGAAAAGGTTCGTGCGTTTAGGGAAAATTGCCTTTTAAGTGCACTCCTCAGTTTGGGTGAGTGTTTCTCAGCATAATACTCATAAATTCAGAGTTAGCTCAGTTCATCTTGAATTCACCTTGTTAGCTTTCAGGAGCTGCTAGGGCTCTGGAACTGATGAATCAAATGTGTTCCAGCATGTAAACATAATGAGGGGAGACAGGAATAGGGTTGCAGCCACTAGCCCTTTACACTTTGACTCCTGAGAATTGAACACCAACTCTGAAGGTTTTCCTAGAAACTAAAAACGAGCAAACATTAAAAAAAAAAAAAAAATCTTCTAGATTTTGTGGGGATTGGAGGTTAGCATAATGACCATCAACACAAACCGGATATACCTTGATTTAACTAATGATTCCTTTTGTTCAGAATGGACTGGCTTGTGGAAGCAAACTCACTGGGCTGTTATTACAGCTTTCTCTGATAAAACA